CGATTTCTCTTTTGTCCAATGGAGAAAAATAAGGTGACTACAGTGGTGGCTGCACTAAGGGTCTGGGCTGTCCCAGCCATGCGGTACCAATTTCACCCTCACAGTCTTGCAAAAGCACCCATTTGGGGCAACGCAGACTTGCAAATTGGGAACAAACCTATAAATTAGAAGAACTGGCTAAGTATGGGCATCATGTAGATTTCCCAGATGGTCAATAATGAGGCCTTTGTCCCTTTTCTAATGCTATAACAATGTTATGACCTGCCTTCCTAAGTGGACTTGCAGTACTTACAACTGACATCTGATATTTTATCCATTTTGTCCAGAGGTCCCAGAACTACTGGGAACTTTAGAAACACTTAATAAACTCCCCAGGCCCATGTCCACTATGTATATTTTGTTAATGAAGAGAAACTCCACTGTCTGGAGTTCTTTATGAAAGCACGTGGAGGGGCTTTATTAGAGCCCTTAAAAGAATCCCAGTGCCACAGCATATTATATAATTTTAGAAATGCCTCTGTGAATCTCAACATATTCTTGTTATAACAAAATATTTTATTCAAAATGCATTGGACGCCTCTGAGGTTGTACAAGATAAAGGCCTTATCCTCTGATGATTGTTGGTACTTGAAGAAAGAAAATGGAACCTTGACCCATATTCTATGGGACTCTCCAACAGCCAGGCAAGTGTGGAAAGAAGGTATGAGAGTTAAAATAGTGCTCAATTTCAGCAGTCAAACCTCAGCCAAAAGTTATACCCTTGGTTAGTTACCTGCTAAGCTGGGTTTAGCTCCACCACAAAGACTTTGGTGTTTGAGGGCTGCAGTGATCACCAAGCGCATTCTTCTACAAAAATGGAAGAGTAGGCTTATGCCCAGAATATAGCAGTGGTATTCGGAACTGTTTGAGTTAACAGCCAAAAGAAAGAATAACTTATCACATAGAGAGCAATCATATGAATTAGAAGAAAATTGGACCCCATTTCTAGATAGATGTGGATAAAAGCATGTTGAGATGGCTTAAAGCAGGGGTAGTCAATAGGCGGACCATGAAGCTGATCCAGGGCTGGAACCATGCCCACTTCCCAGTGCTGGGGCCCCCCCCCCAGCAGAGGATGGTTCAGCTGGGCTGGGCTGTGGGGCACAGTGTGTCCCTGGGCGGCTGCTTGTACAGCCTCAGTTCCACCGGCTGTAGTCCAGGGATGGAGGGGGCGAGCAGCAATGTTGGAGGGGTGGGGGGGAGACATCTCCACCCCGCTGTGGGCAGCCTAATGTGTCTCCACTACACCCTGCCCCTCCAATCAGGGAGTGATGATGGGGTGTCACATGCTCACACTGCAGACCGATCAGACAACAGAGCTGATTCAAATTGTTCTCTTCTTTCCCTGGAGACAGTAGGGCTGGCTGGACTACAGAGCTGCTACTTGTGGGCTGTAGGCCCCACAGGGCAACCCAGCAGGTAAGTGCCTGATGGGGTCCCACAGCATCCATTTGTGCCAGGGCACCAGGCACAGCAAATCCCCCACACACAGCCTCATGCCCCCAGTGTGGTCCCAGACGCCTCCACCCCAGCCTCATGTCTCTGTCCCTGAGCGGTTCCCAGAGCCCTCCACCCTGGTCTTGTGTCCTCCCCACCCCCTGTCCATCAGGGCCAGTCCCCGGAGCCCTCTCCCCACCCATCCACTCTGACTGGCCTCTTTCCCTCCCCAGTCCACCTCCAGTCACCTGCTTCTGCCACATCCCGGCCTTCCCCCACCTCCCCAGGGCTGCTATCTTGAGTGTCCTTGGTCCCTCCCACTACCTGGGGCCTCCTTTCTGCCCCTCTGCTATCTGAGCCCCCAGCGGGGCATGGCATCACATCGCCAGCTGGATCATAGTCCAATAGTCCATAGTTCTCCAGGCTGCAAGCTCAAAAGTACTCTCTCACACACACACACTCACACCCTGCTTTGCTGCCCAGATCCCATACCCATTCCTCCCCCCTCCACACCCCGTCTCCATCTCTGCTATTTGGCTCAATTGGGGGCATCAAGGAACATTTGGGGAGGGGGGATGAGCAGCAATGATAGGTGGCTCTGGCCAGCCCCCATGTGTCCCATTTACAGTTTAGGAAAATAAGGTCACCCTACTCTCCGGGTGGAGTGGGCAGGGAGATGGCAGGTGATCAGGGAGCTTGAGGTGGCAATCAGGGGGGCTAGGGGAGGGGAGCTAGGTTGGGGTCTGGTCCTTGACTATATCTTAACCAAGAAATGTGGACCTTGACAAAAAATAATTGACTACCCCGGCTTAAAGAATTCCAGACCCTCCCCAACTCCACCCCTTCCCTTCCCTATTCATGTATGTCTTTTATTTTATTATTGTTACCCCCAACATAATACGTTATGTCTATGTAGTTTCTGGTCTTGCAGCATTGACAAGTTGTAAAATTGCGTACTTCTATTAGAGACTGTATGAAGTATTTAGAAACATATACAAGCTGAAAGTCATTTACCTTTTTGTTTCTCTATGAAAAAAAATCAATAAAAAAATTAATCATTCTCACACACATACACCCCTCAATCCCTTAATGCTTAGTCTTGTAGTTACCTCAAGACATAACTGGGAGGGAAATATTTTTAGCTGAACCAAAAATAACATTTTTTTAAACTTTTGGCAAATTGAAAGTTGTGAAAAAATATTTTTGTGTCAAACAAAACATTTCATTTGACCTGAAATATTTTATTTTGATTTGGAGCATTTTTTACACTTTAATTTTTTCTTAAATAAAAAGGCATTTAGAATTAAAAAACTGAAACATTTCATTTAAAAAAAAGTTGAAATAAAAAAAGTTAATAATGTTTTTGTTGGGTTTTTTTTTAAACCAAAACATTGTGGCAAAATTTATACAAATTTGCAAAATGTTTTTGTGTTGCCAAATCTACCTTTTTCACCAAAAAAAGTTTTGGTTGAAAAATTTTGCTCAGCTCTACTTACTACTATGAGTAGTCCAGGTGACAACATCATAGTACTATTCATTGTAGAAAATGCTACACCGAGTAGTAAGTGATTGCAGGATCGAGTCCATAGATTTCACTTGTATCTATCAGTTCACTATCTAATTCTTTCATAATTTTTCTTTAAAATTGTTGTATGTTGTATTTTTATTTCTGAAATTGCTTAAAGTTTCCTGTTTACATTTATTTGTTTTTTAAAGGTTTAAAAAGCTTATCCATTGCTTTGTTTTGAGACATAACATTAGAAGTTTCATAGTCACAATAATGTACTAGTTTTCTTTTCATTATAGTAAAACAAACCAAGGTGCCTACTGTAGAAAAAGAACATATCTGACTTTATATAGTATGAAATGTTTACTTTGTCACTAATAATCAATGACTACCATAACCCATTAAGCAGTTTTCTATTATATCCATTAGTACATTACACAAACCACTTTGTAAATGCACCTAATATACCCATTTTCTATAATCAGAAAAAACACAAGCAAACACACTTTCCTGCAGAGATTTATAGGACTTGTGATTTACAATAAGAAAGTAACAGTGCAACAGCAGTGCAGAGGGGAAAGCTCTAAAAAAATTAACTATTTAAATATATCTAGTTGAAGTGGTTCATGAATGGATAATCACTGCACTGAAATGAACTTCATTCTGGTAAAAATGATGTTCTAACAAAGAAATATGTATCACATTTTAATAAGTGATTCTTATCATTTAAATTCAACCAATTATCTCACATTTTTCTTGCTAAGCAGGCTATTCAATTACAATACCAAAAGTAATTGCACAAATGTATTTTAACTTTGGCCAACATAGAAGTAATTAAATAAAAGTTAATTGTGCTGTGGCCACTATGGCATCACAGAACTTTGAGGGTGTCTAAACTGTTGTTTATTGCCATAACAATTTTTAAATAAATTTAAAATAGAGTTAAATTGGTATAATTTGACAGGAATATTACAATTTCTACTATGGAGGATATCACATGTAATATAAATAAAGTGGCCTGGGCCCTCAAAAATAGAGATGTACTGACAATAGAATCTCAAATGAGTTAACCTTTCTTGCCTTTCATTTAAAGAATTTCCATTAATCTGGGTCTACTTCTTTTCTTCCAGTAGAGCACATTTAATGATTAGTTCAAGTTTTAGGTCAATAGGGTTTCAATTCATTCTATCTTACTGTGCTGCGCCTAGTGTAGTGTATAGTACTGGTAGCAGATTGCGTGCTGCAGACCTTTTCTTATTTGAAAAATGTCAAATGTCATAAATGCTTATGATAATGCACTTCTCACTTGCAACATGATGAAACTTAACATCAAAAGCCCTGTTACATACTGCATGACATATGACTAAAGACTAAAGTTGACTCCTTTCACCTGGATATGACCAGTATCCTAATTTTACTCAACTAAATCCAGATACCTTGAAAGTACCACTGCTATTACCTAACCTGCTTCATAAGTTTTACACCTATTCTGTGTTGAAGACCTCTCATCAGAAGGTTCCCTTTCTTCATTTTACAGACTCATTACCATGGGATGGTTAATTTTTTCTGCAAGTGACAGTAGTAACCATGGGTGAGAGTGTGGGGGGAAGTTGTGGGTTTTTCCATATAACTACAAACACACAATAGCTTCTCTGTCATTAACAACTGGATCACATATTAAAAAAGCATTCAAAGAAGAAAAGATACCATTCTAAAGGAAATGTGAGAGTGACTACACCATTGTGCAAAGCAATCCACCCAATAAATGCCTAAATTCTGCACCAATGCTAGTAATACAACAGAAACAAGTACCCTGCTGACACATTGAAGGCAGGGAATTTAAAATTACTATATTAATATAATGAATGGCTGTGACTTTAAACACTGACACATTGTACTTGTTAGCGAGAGTGAACAATTTATGGTTACTGTGAAGAATACAGGCATGAGGATGAGGGAGGTGATGATGGGGAGGAGGTGAATATCCCTAGCAGCTGCTAGGGAATCATGTCCCTACCTCAGTAAGCTGGATAGGGGAATAGCTCCAGATCCACTGCCCAGGATCCCTCCTTTCCTCCCCGACAGGAGTTTTTCCACGAGAGCCACATTCCCAGTGCGAGCAGCTTCCAGCAGTTCCTGGTCCTTCCCCATGGTCAGTAACCAAACACTCTCTCCCCCCTCGCAAAATACTATAGATATAGCTAAGCCCCTTCAAAAAATTCCCCTCCCTCGATCAAATAATCTCCTCCTTGCCTCAAGCCCTGCCTCAAATCTGGGCAGAGAGGAGATCCCTGCAGCCCCTACAGAACAGCAGCAGGAGGGAGCAGGAGAATCACCTCCTAGTTACACTAGCTCAATTCTGGGTGGAGTGTGGCAGGAAAGCGGGGGGGACGACGAGGAGGGAGGAAATTAGGCCAATAAAAGACCTTCCCACTCACACACCAAATCCCAGCCTGCAGGGTGAGTGAGGGGGGCTGCCTCAGCCCCAGAACCTGGGGGGGGGGGCGGGGGGAAGACGAGATAATGACCAGCAGGGAGGGATGGAGGGAGGAGGCGCAGCCCTGGCCAGCCAGGCCCGTTGCTGGGGAGACACAGATCTCTCTCTCTGAGTGGCTGGCTGGGTTTGGCCCCACCCCCTCCCCGGATCCCAGTCCCAGCGCCTCGCCTTGCTGCTACCGCTACTGATGCTGCGCTGGGGATTCTGTCCCCTCAGCCGCTCGGCCCGGCCCGCCCAGCAACAAGAGCAAGAGCGTCTCGCGCTCCACTGCGGGGCCACGCGCTGCGGGACCGTTAACGGCAGCTGAAGACAAGGCGCTGCGCGTGCAAGGGGGGAGGGGTCGCACACAGCGCTAGGCAGTGGCTCTGTATGGTGGCCGCTACCGGGGGGTGATAGAAGCAGGTGTTCCCGCTACAGCTCGGTCAGGGGAAGGGGCGGTGGTTCTTGCTGTGGCCTCGGAATAACGGCAGCTGGGTGAGTCCTGGAGTTTGGAGTGCGGGGGACGAGGTGCTGCTGAGGCAGAGGGCAGGAGCCTCACGCTGGGATCAGAGGGCAGAGTGAACCGACCCCCCCCCCCCCCGGTGGTGGGGCGGGGCTGCGTCGCTTGTGTGGGGAGAGGGGCTCAGGATTGCAAATGGGACCGACGGGAAGGAGCGCATGAGTTGGGGTGGGAGTGGCAACATCCAGCTCCCTGCCAGGCACCAGGCAGCGCAGACAGAGGGGTCTCTGGGATTCAGCCATGAGACCATGCGGGGGAGTATAGCTCTGAGCCACACAGCAGATCCCTGCAGATGCGGGGCAGGATAAATAATCAATGGCAAAACTCCCACTGACTTCATTGGGGTCAGGATGTCACTCATTGAGGAAGCAGGGGTCCACTGAGGTTGTCTCATGTTTGTCAAAGGAGGGGGAACACTGATGGACCTGGGGCCCCCTTTAGACTCGATCTTCCGCCATCCTGGTGCTAGTGATGCCGACACTGAGTGTTTTTAATGTGAAGCTTCTTCCATGATGACGATTTTTCTCCCACCTTGGCAGCTAGAGTAATTTTTCTCCACAACTCCAGTGGGATTTATGAGTTATGTGGAAAATTTGCTCTCTTGCCCAAGTCATTAGCTCGTCCTTGTCTAATGCACTATTTGATACTGTTTATATATGAAAAGCCAAATAATAGCCTTTTCACCCCCACCTGATTTAGTAGATTACCTTTAGTATTTTTATTTCTGTAGCAACACAGGTGTTACAGGCAAATAAGACAATGCCCCTTAGAAGCCCTGCCTTATTGAGGGGAATGGCAAAGCACCCATTAACAGTGGGTGCAGGATCAGGTAATAAATTAATCCCTGATTCAGTAAACTCATATGAGTAAATTAATGCATACATGTAAGTGTTTGCAGAGTCAAGGCCTTAGTTAACAACCAAAAATAACATACCATGGTAGGCAAGAGATTAAGGAAGTATGTTGAGGGAGACCATATTAAATACTCATGGCCTTATCCAGTTTCCGTTAAAGTCAAAGTCAAATTTACCTGTTGACTTCAAAAGGAGTTGGATTAAGTCCTTGGTGGGAAATACTGCTCTTTTAGGGAGCCATCTTTCCCCCCATATATAGCAGATCATATAACTGTTTTATTTCATATGTTTTAGTTAATTACATTGCAACTTTTAAAAAATGAAGTTTATATCTTTACTAAACTTTCCAGTAACTGTAAAAATATACCATTTGGAATCCCAGCCCACCCATAATGCTGCAAATATAGCTGTTCATAGCCTATTTAAACAAATAAAAATCAGTTTCTATCCAGAAAATGAATCTTACATATTTTAAATTTTGTAGTATGGGAAATTATGGATGTTTTCCCCTAGAATGGTAGCAGAACACGTAACAGGGCATCTAATTATTAGGTGAGACTTCTCTATAGCTCTTGCCTTCCTGACTGAATACATACCACTATTTGATATAAACAACATAAATTTTAGGACCTGATTCTGCAAGCCTTTACTCATGTCAGTGTTTCCATTAAAGTTTATTTTTGTATAAATAAACAAATATGTGAATTAAGCTTTACCGTTTAAGCCCTTTGTCACAACTGATCTGGGTCACATTTGAACCATCTATCTAAAGTAGAGAGAATAAAATGCAGAGCTTATTACCGAACACCTTAGTCATCCAGTTCCAACAGTGAAAGTAATTATAAATGGAGTAACCCCCATTTCCCATATTCCACTATCTAAATCTAGGCTTTCTGTCTATTACATGGCTAGCCAAATGTAGCCCTTAGTTCCATCAGACAAAGGGATTGCCTCTATGTGGGTGGCTAATGTGGCACATGGTGTGTATGAAGGTACTGAAAACAAAGGCTCAGACCCTGCAATAAACTCTGCACTGGCAGGCTCCTCCACTTGTGCTGAGCTCTCTTCAAGTCAATGGGGTTCCACACAGGCTCAGAGGTCTGTCTGTGTGGTGCTCATTGCAACATCAAGGCCAAAATGTGCATGTTTGCAGATAATAAGAAGATTGAAAGCAGAGCAAATGCTAAGGAACAACTAGATTTTAAGAATTTGGATTGTTTAGGTGATTGAACCAGCAGATGGCAAACATGACTCAGTGTAAACAAATGTTATATAATTAGTCCTTAGATTTTATTTTCCCCAGACTATGTGCTAAGTGAAAATACCATCCAGGAGACTGATCAGGAAAGAAACAGAGGACCAGTGTGGAAATATCATTGGGCCAAATTGTGCCCTCACTGACACTGGCAAATTCCATGCGGCTCCTTGGGTGTAATTGAGTTCAGAATATGCCCCGTTGAAGCCATCAGCCCAGTGTCCAGCAGCAATAAAAAATCCAAAAATCCATTAGGTTGTGTTAGCAGATATAATCTAAAATAATTATTCTAAAAATTAGAAAGCAAAAATGATAAGGAATTTGGGCCAAACTATATAATAGAAGGGTTACACATGGATAAGTGTCTAGGGTAGGGGTTCTCACAACAAATCTTTTGGTGGCTTCAGACTGCACCCTCAAACTTTCACTGGTGGCTGCACTGACACTTTTCCCTAAAATACTTAATTAACTTTAGGAAAAACAATTAAATATGCACAGATACACATCCAAATCATTGGTTTCAGAGTAACAGCCGTGTTAGTCTGTTTCGCAAGAAGTTTTGGCACCCTGAGACCTCTTTTTTTATCCAAATCATTGTAATTTATATTTGTAGGGGGTTTTGGCAGACTCCCCCTTCAGGAGTGATATCTGTATATTTGTAAATATCACAGCATACTTAGTAGCTACCTGGGAGGCTATGAAAAGTGATAAGTGATATTGACAAACATACAAATATCACTTTTCACATATAGCTAGTAAGTCTACTGTAAAACGTGATACTTGCATGTTTGTTAATATCACCTTTCTCAGCAAGCCCCAGGACTCATTAAGCCCTTGATGGGGAGGCTGAAGGGGGAGGCAGCAGGGGCCAGAGGCGATGGTGGGATGAATGCAGGGGGAGGCAGCTGGGACCCGGAGCAATGCGGGGGATGGATGCAGGGCTGTGGGAGGCAGCAGGGGCGATGGGGATGGGTGATGAGTCCCACTGTTGCATGGCCAGAGCCAGAGCCTGGTGTCTGCTGCCACGCGGCCAGGGCCAGGGCTCAATGCCTGTGGCCAGAGCCTGGAGCTGGGGACAGGAACTGCATAGCTGGAGCCAGGGATCAGAGCCCGCTGCTGCGCAGCGGGTCAGTGCCGGGGGCTAGTGCCTGCTGCCGAACCCAGAGCTGGATGCCGGAGCCTGGGGCTGCGCTCGCTGCTGCGTGGTCAGAGCCAGAGATCGGCACCCAGGGCCAGCTCTCACTACCGTGTGGCTGGAGTCCCAGGAATAGAGTTGTGGGTTGGCACCTGCTGCCATACAGCTGGGGCAGGGATCAGTGCCAGGGGCTGGGGCCACGCAGTTGGAGTGGTCGGTGCCTGCTGCTGTGCAGCTGAGGCCGGGAATCAATGCTAGGGGCTGGGGCCACCGGGTGGGCTGGGGCCGGGGCCAGCATCTGCCACCAGATGGCCGGAACTGGGGGCCAGAGGCTGACAAACTCCGGAGCCGTGGTCAGCACCTGCTGCTCCATGGCCAGAGCCAGGGGTTGGTGCCCGCTGCCGTGTGGCTGGGGGTCAGTGCCTGTGGCCGGGGGTCAGTGCCTGTGGCCAGCGCCTGCCACTGCACAGCCAGAGCCCAGGACTGGAGCCAGCGCCTGCTGCCACACATCTGGAATCAGGGGCCAGAGGCTGAAGCCCCGCAGCTGGAGGCCAGGGCCATGTGGCTGAAGCTGGGGGGGTCAGTACACACTGCCCCATGGTCATAGCCTGGGGTCACACAGCCAGGCTCCTGAAGTCCCATTGCTGGAGCCTGCTACCAAAACCCTCTCCTCCCAAGGTGGGTCAAGAACTCACCTTGCTCCTCCAGAGGTGGTGCAGGGCAGCACATCCGGGAGCAACAAGGAGGGAATGGGAGGGCCCGATGCTTTGCCCCCCCCCCACACACACACACACACTCCATCACCGCCCAGAAGACTGTCATGGCTGCATGAAAAGCCGCAGGTGGCTGCATGCAGCCACCATAGCTGCATTTGAGAAACGTTGGTCTAGGGCAGCTGAAGCAGAGAATTCAGGACACAACTTGATCTGTTTCTAGATGACACTGATAGTAGAGTGTAGTGGAAAAGAAGCAGAATGATGGGATTCAGTTGAACCAGAAATGCAGGTAGATTGGACCAGATGGCCTCTCCATTCCTAAAAGTTCTTATGTTCTTAATTATTTATGGTATAAGTACTGCATTGTGGGCAGTTTGAAAATTACATGCACCATGAACAGGTTCAAGAGACT